CCAGTTCTTTCTCAAATGTATACCACATAAAAACACAGAATAAAATTTTGCTAAACAGAAGATCAGAGCCTCAAATATGTTGAAAGTAGTAAATTATGCAATCATCCCCCCAACGGTCCCAAACACACACAAGCTCTTACAGGAAATATCTCTGATAAGGTATATGGATGGAAATTCCTTTAAATGGCGTTTGCTCTATCTCCGTTTCTCATCTAGACACCAGGTGTTGGATCAGGATTCATTTTCACCGTTAGGTAAAGCCCTCCACACCGGCTGCAGTCGCTTTTCCTAACAATAAAAACAGAGATTGGTTCAGATTGTTCAGATGAGGTAAATAAAAGTTGTTTTACGAGTCAACATGAAAAAAGGCATATCTCCACCTTTTGAAGTACAGGCCAGCAAGAACTGCCAGCACAAGTACAGCTGTGACTGCGACTCCAACTGCAATCCAAATCTTTGAATGTCCACCTACTAATAGACAGGATTATGGGATTAACCACGATATAGGCTTGATACAGGCTATCAAACTTGAATAAATGCTATTATCTGATAATATTATGGGATTATCAGATAAAAAAAAATACATTCTTTAAATAAAAAAAAGAAGTTCTAACAGATTAATTAAATCTTAGCCCTAACTTGAGTAGAAATGAAGTAACATGGTGTGATACATTTTCAGGCACCAAAAAACAAACTCACAACTAAACTGTTGATCTTTTTTGCTTGGCTTGGTAAGTTTTACAGGTCTAGATAAATTAGAAGTATACATTTTCTATTCATTGATACATGGATTAGTACCTTCTTCTCCATGGTAGAAGTCCTTGCCAGAGCATGTTACTGTAAAAACAAACTTCATTAAAATTATCGAATAAATAAAAATCATTTTATCTTTGATAAATGGGGGAAAGTATCAACAGAATGAGGAATACCGTTGCAGATGGTTCTGCATTCCTCTTTTACGCCAGTATTCTGAGGGAAACACATAGCAGAGATAAATGTTGTCAGCACACATTTTAATTTATACACTATCTGAATGAAAACTAATGTTCTTGCAGGAAAGCATGTTGCATTGTGTTCCAATTTGATTAAAACTTACCTTTGAAATAATGCTAACGATGCCCTGAAGACATTTGGAGGTGCTTAGAGAGTAGATGTTGCTATTCAACACTGGAGGAATTTGTCCGGAGTTGTCAGCAATTGTGAAGTTCTAAAATGAAAAAGTATATATAGGTCTAGATAAATGTATATATCTAGACCTATCTATACATGTGTATATATATATATATATATATATATATATATATATATATATATATATATATATATATATATATATATATATATATATATATATATATACACATGTATAAAATGTTAATATTGAACATGTTAGTTAATCAATAAAAATGTCTTCATTGATGTTTTTTTAATTTATTTTTTTTAGTAAATAACAAGGAAGTTCAAATGTTGACATGTTACTGGTCATAACTTACAGTTCCGTTAATCCAAGAATAATCCCAGTCAGAGATATCTGTGCCAGGCGCACCAGGGTCTGCAGAGAGGATGTAAGTTGTCTTCTCACCATTCCGGCTGACAGTGCAGGTTAATTTACCAGCACTGACCAGGCCAACCAAACCTGGGAACAAACAAACACAAAATAATAGAAAATAATGAAAATCTGTTTATAGTGTGGTTACATTATGGCTGGTCGATGCTAAGGTATAGGAATGAAATGAAGAAATGCCGAGGCTTCCAGGGTTTGTTCATCTTCAAAAGCAACAAAAGCAGCTGGAATTCCCCCCCGCTGGGAACACGGATGCTGATGTGGTCACCTAAACGGAAAGAATATCTCCTTTCTTTCTGCTTCAAAACGTTGTCAGTATTTATATATAAAAGGGTTTTTGGTTGTAGACGAAAAGCAGCATTATTTCAAAAGTAATTCTGGAAAAGCCCGAATGCAAAAGCCGAACACCTGTCTGCTGAGAAAACGTGCGCCGGCGATTTCTACCACAAACCCAAACAATTATGTCATTGACACTCGAGTGAGACACGTAATCTGAGTCAATATTAACAAATAGTTCAAAATCACACTTACAAAGGATGCGTCCTATCCACACCGCGTCCATTTCTCTCTGATCGAGAGATCAGGAAGCAGAGCGAGAAGACCGCCCCCTAGAGGGCGGTCTTCTCACCCACCCACCCAAAACTATTACTTTTCCCTTTTCCTCTCTCCCAACAATGTTGCAACACTTTCTTAACTGGGTGATCTTCATTTTGTCCTTTTAAACTTATCCAATAATTTACCATGATCTGCTGTCTTCTAATACATAATGGCATCTCTCCTGACTCTACTTGTAACGCACATACTGGAGTAGATTTAACTGCCCCTAAGCAAATTCTCAAAGCTCTTGCTTGAATAATATCCAATTTGTTTAACCTAGTTTTGCTTGCTGATCCATACACCACACTCCCATGATCTATTCTAGATCGAATTAATGACACATAAATATTTTTAAGTGATTCAAAGTTTGCACCCCATGTCAACCCTGTCAAGCACCTCATAATGTTAAGAACCTTTTTACTTTTTTCCATAATGTGATCTATATGACTTTCCCAAGTTAGTTTCTTATCAAAGACTACTCCCAAAAAACGAAAACTATCAACCGTATCTAATTCTTTCCCATATAAATATAATTTTTTATCAATTCTAACTTTCTTATGGGTGGATCACTATCTCTGTATTATGATAATAATAACAATAATAATAATAACAATAATAATGATAATAATTTATCAATATGCAATTGTCTAAATCACGTGACTGAACATTTGCCAATATTCTGGTAATGTAATCTATTTATGTTTTGCCATTCCTTCCTCTTTTTTGTAGCAGATCACTCAGTATTTTTTGTTTGTCTGAACTGGGATTGTGTAAGATAGCTAATATCAATACAATACCAGTCAAAGCGGAAATTGCAGAAATAGATCATTTTCATACAGGAGAAAGGCTATTGGCTATTGCCACGGTAAAGTGTAAGTTAAGGTTACACTCTCCTTTCATAAGAATCAGTGAGGCAAATTTCTCTATTTTTGTAATTTGGCTTTTTACTCAGACTTTCAGCTCCTCACATAGTGTATTCTAGTTTCTATTCCACACCAGGCTGATGATGTTAAGGGTTGGAGCGAGCAAATGAGCCCAGGTATTATCTTCTAATGGAGTTCTACTTGATTAAAATGATGAGCTGCATTATTCTTGTAAAGGAAGCTGCTGCAAATGTTTGGAAACTGACACAATAAGGATTCATAGACTGTGAAAGATAAACATGCTCTCTTATCAACTACTGAATAAACAAATCCGACAGCTAGTGATTTGGCTTTTCACAAGCATAAGTCCTGACTGACTGTTCACTAGTTTGCAGCTATAACAACTGAAGCTACATGCTTACTTTCCATGGAAGGGAAATACAGAAATACATCTGACTGTGATTGCAGTTCAGGGTTTGACCCACAGTAACCCCTGCTCTTATGAATATTTATGCTTTGACTACGCTCTCTGCTTTGATAAGCCCACAATAGATCACACCACTTAGCACACACCTGATAACCAAAACTAGGTTGGCATGCACATTTCCTGGCTTTTGTTGTGAACTGCATGCATGACACAGTCACACAGAAGTGGCTAGGAGGGTTCATTTACACAATATCTTTTCTTTTTAAGAAAGCCTTTAAACTTTGATTAAAATGTGATTATTTCAGGGAGGCTGGTATGGCCATATATTCAAATATGTATGTGGCTGCTGAGAAAGAAAAAAGGTTACATCATTTCCTGTGCCAAATCTCACACCACCAGTGGTTTTAGTTTTCATTGGCTACAAAAAAATCACAAGACATATGCTCCACCTTTGTTGCCCCACAAAGTAAGTGTAGCTATTTTTAAACATCCTTTGTCTTCAAAGAGATAAACTTTGACTGATCATACACGCAAAGTACTCATGCCACATCAGTTATGCCACATGACTTATTTCAACCGTTTATTCCAGAGGGTTAAACAAATAAACAACTTAATATTTTTTATTCCAAACTTTTAAAACTGTAAATGTATCAGCTTCTGGATTAGATCTGGTTTGATGTTTATTTGCCTTATCAGAAATGGCAGTTTATGCTTTGATGACACTCTCTTTTTTGATAAGCTGACAATAGATCATACCACGTTAGCACACGCCGGATAATCAAAACTGTGTTCTGACATGCACATTTCCTGGCTTTTGTTGTGAACTGCACGCATGACACAGAAGTGCCACTGTGGGTTCATTTACACAATATTCATTCACAATATTTTTTCTAAATATTTCTGCTGGCTTGAGATGAACAATTTGAACGCAGCTCTTTTAATTCATCATTCCATCCACTTCCTGTAAAATACCAATACTATTAAACAGGAAACTGTGATCATGACATTACTTGGTGGTCTTACTAAACTGTGACCACCAAACAGTTGTACTTTCCTTTTATCTGAGGATGACCATTTTTGTTAGCTTGGGTTGAATTTGGACAAAATTGGGCGTTTACAACCACACAAACTCATCAAAATGGAGTGATTGAAAGAATAAACGAGGCTAATATCAAGATTCTTGAATGGACTTTGACAGTTCCAACTTCAACTTTGTTCAGTAGAGTTGAAGTTGAATTACCCTCTATTAAAAGCGTAACTCTTAAATGCTATGTCAAAACAATAAAAGCAACCTGTTCAAGTGAACTCAGTCACTGCTCAGAAGAGTGGGCCAGTAGACGGCTGATGGCTATCAAAAACTTGGTTTATGTAAATTTCGAGCCTCATGTACAATTTTGATGTGGTTATAAGAAAACATGCATATCAAGTTTCTGCTCTTAAAAATCCCTGAAAAACAAAAAAAACTGCGTCCATCCCAATAATGAAATATTTGAGTATTTGTCAATGTTTCACAGCAAGCAAACATCTGCAAAAACAGACCACAAACATCTTATGTTGGCAACTGGTATAGTTTATTAAGCTGGTCAAAATATTGCGACAGTAAACAGTGCAGCTTATGAAATGTGAAACAGTGATAAAAGTAGAAAAAATAGAAAGACACTATCTAACTTCACAGAAATGAGTCCACACAGTACAGTACAGGTATAACACATACAAAAACCTTCTGTATGTATAATAACATTAATAGCAGAGTCAGGATTTGACTCTGAAGTCTAATATTTTATCATCATAATTAATGCTCATATCTTGTTAGTGTAATAATAAAAGCTATTAATAATAGTCACTTTCTGTGTATAGCTTATATGCACAATATATAGTTTATAAACATTGGTTCATAATGCTACAGGATGCTAAAGGAACACTCACTGGTGCTTCATCTTTAAGCTTCCACAGCTTTCAGGCTTTCACAGTGGGGGTGGGTTCAGGGGGATGCTGATGGCTCACATGGTGCACACACTGGTGCAGCACAGAGGCTTCCACAGCCCCATAAATAATTCATCTGTGTAACAGTAAGTCACACTACTTCAGCAGAAGAAATTATTATTAAGGCTGGGAAGATTATTGATTTTTAAAACATCAATTAATGTTGGATTTCTGTCCAAAATGATTAGCTGCGGTTAAAAACATAAGCATCTTTGTTCTTTAAATTAATGATAATATAAACTAATTTACTAAAAAAAAAACACAGTAAGATAAATATATATGTATTTTTTTAAATGTACACAAATGTAAAACTGGAGTGCTATGCTAATGGCAGTAACAGTGCATTGATAATTGATGCTGCCATCAAATATAGGCAACAATGTTTAGCTTAAGTACAGTTTTTAGCAGAAAAACTCTAACGGCAAGAGGCACAATAATTATTTTCTAAGATGCTGTCTGATAATAAAAGAAACTGCAAGTACATCAGCTTCCTCCTGACTCTACCACCACTTTGGATGGGGCTGCATCATTCTGATTTGGTACAGGCATGTAGAGACGTCTCAAAAATGTTAACATCCTGCGAACACAAAACACAGCACGATTTCACTACTCTCAGAACATTTGGCTTTTGTAAGGATGTTACAGAGGGGAAGAAAACAAACCTGCAAATGTCTGCTTTGAATTTGTAGGACAGGATGAGACCCAACATGCCCAGAAGCAATAAGACTCCAATGATGGGGTAAATCGAGATTTTTGAGTCTCCAACTGTCAACAGATACCATTAAATAATTAGAAAACTTACAATGTATTCATCAAAAGGTCTCGTCTGACATGGTTTCTTTTAGAGGATTTTTAAATTACATAGAAATGAAGAAATGGAATAGAAATACCCTTTATTGTCCGACAGTTGGAAAAATTCAGGTGTCACAAGAGGAAATTAAGATAAGTGAAAGCAAGCATATTCACACAAAGTGAGAAAATATATTAAGAATAATAAACTACTCTCAGAAGCAAGAGTAAAACATAAGAAAAATAATTCTACACCGTTATTAAAAGTAGAGTTATTATAAAATAATGTAGAGCTGAGTAGGTTAATTTAGAAAAAAAAAACTTTACAAGATGTGCAGAAATCTTGTAGCGAGATTATAAGAACTGTAAAAAACTGCAAGCAGAAATGTGCAAATAACACCAGGAATGTTATTTCAAGGAAGAAAATCAACAAATCACAGTAGGGATGTAAATACTTGTTAGGAGCAGAGACTGTTATAAAGTCTTACAGCTGCTGTGAAGAATGCATCAATCTGCATACATGCATTTTATGTTACTCTAAATACTTGGTTGATAATGGTTCGAAATAGATGTCATGTAAATACAATGTTGTGCTTCAAACTCACCTTGACCCAAGTTCATCACAGCACATGTTGCTAAAAAAAAAAAAAAAAAGACATTTACAAATAAAACAATGAACAAACTGAAACTCAAGCAAGAAAACAATAGAGTAGGGAAACAACTTATTGAAAGAAAAAACTGATTCAGGTGTTTTGAGGAAATAATTTGTGCAACCAATACTTACTGGTGCAGTTGGCTGTGTATTCTGTCAGTTCCATCTTCTGAGGAAAATAAACAGATTGTTTATTTTATTATTCTCTTTAAAATAAACTTTAATTTGAGTAAATATTGCTAATTTTAAAAAAAATGTAAATACAGATTTTGTATGCTTCTCAGAGTTTAAAGAAAGTCTGTAGTTTCCAATGAATTGTTTGGACATTTTTTATGATTTTTTTTTTTTTTTATCTTTTGCAAAACTTTTTATACCTCTGCTGACCAGCACTGTGCCTTCCATAAAATGTAGTCATGGCAGTCGGATCTCTCTAGAGTGTGGAAGCTGTTTGTCATCAGTGATGAATGTTGGTATGAGCTGGTAGAGAGCATGGTCTGAAATCAAAATACAAAATAGAAAAAGATTATTCATACACTGCGACAGAATGGTGACCTGTCCAGGGTCTGCCCCGTCTCTCGCCCGGAACGCAGCTGGAGATAGGCACCAGCAACTCCACCAGGGATACAGGTGAACAGACAGATAATGAATGAATAAATTAATGGATGGATGGATGAATGGAATATTCATACTCAATTTCCTGCTACACTAAACCAATCATAAGTGACGATTCTGCAAAAAACGGACCCCATTCTGGACCCTTGAAGAATTAGAATGACATGTAGGACAAAATACTGATTTCACCAATCTCAGTCTCTATTTCAGACAGTATTTGTTAAAGTGTATAATATATTCAAGCATATTAGTTAGGACTGCATAGAAGCACAATAAGATCCCATGTTTAAATCCCAACTTGGGAGTCTTTATACAGTTGTAACTTACAGTTTCGTTGCTCCATGTGGAATCACATGTGGCTGACTGGAAACCTGAAGCATGAGACTCCAGCGAGATGCTGTGAACCATCTGGCTGCCATCTCTTTTCACCGTGCACAGCAAATCCACAGCACAGCAGAAACTGAAAAGGAATGCTATGAAAAAAGGCATGAAACAACAAATGTCAGTAAATATACTAAACACAAAGTGTAATTGTTTCTCAATGCGGTTATTTCTATTGTCACTCGAAAAAAAATGCGCATAGTTTATCTCTGCCCAACGAGTCACATCTTGAATATTTGCAGTCATGATGATGATGCAATGAATCTCAGAGTAAAGTTTTTTTGTTTGTTTGTTTGATTTTTAACTGTCTGTTTGTCTCGCAGCTTAAAGACAAAGTTATTCAAACATTACCGTGTGTGAACAGCGCAGCTTTCTTCCACAGCTCCATCTCAGCCGCAGACTTTAGTTTCTCCCGGTGGAAAGCAGAAGTGTGGCTCTTCCACAGCGACTCTACATACTGATGAACAGTCAAACACGCGAGTCTACATCACAGGAAGTAGTTTTGGAACTGCCTTGAAGCGCGGATGATGCAAGGTTACACCAATGAGGAGAAAATGCTGAAGAAGCAAAAGTCAAACAGGTTCTGTAGTTTGGCCTAAATAAATCACATGATTTAGATCGCTATTAAATCAAAATTTTAAATGCACATCATGCACACCTGTACACAACATATACTCGTAGCAATGTGTGTGTGGTGTGGCAGTGACTTGTGTCGTTTTAATCTGCTTGCTGCCTCTAGATTGGCCACTAGAAGGCAGCTGTGAGTTTAAACTGGAGACTGGAGGCTTAAAGGACAGATAAGTAAAAACTGGGTAAAGAAAGTAGCAGACAGATGATGGCAGTACATGGTGAACAAGAAAAAATAGGACTACAGCTGGTTTAGTTAGCTGTAATAACTACAATAACTAATAGCAATTCATTTTAACAGGTGTAAAAGTAAAAAGTGAGGAAAACCTTCAAGGGCAGCTGGAGGAGAAAACAAAAAATCCTGGTGAGGCTGATGTGGCAGTAGATTGCCTTTCCTAGTCCATTATACGAAATCAATTTATTGGCTGGAAAATGACTACAACTCCAGAATGATACTTCATTCTTCATAGAGACATAACATGTAAAGTTAAATTAGTTAACTTTACATGTTTACACTTTACAAGTTCAGTAACTTGCAATATGTGCAGTTTGATAAAAAAAAAAAATCACTCTGAACAGCTAACCAAATCAGACTCAAAACTGAAAAATACTGAACTCATTAATCTATAATGACCTACAACCTTAACTTTGAAAAATAAAAAAATAATAAAAATGTTAAATTCAGCAAAGAGAAATTGAACTTTTGAGTTAAGTAAACAGAGTTTTCTTTTAGGCCCTACTACCTAAAAAAAAACCACACACACACTTGATGAAACAAATATGGAACCATAAAATTAACCAAAAAAACCAAAAACATAAAATTAACTCAGAAATCAGAAGATTATACAACTTAGACTTGTCTTCCAGGAACCTACGGCTCTGTTATGTTTAGGAGAAATATGGGCTTTATGTTTTATGACAGGTTTGGACAAACAAAATGTTTACCTAAAAGCTTCACACACTGCCAAGGAGTTTGACCCTTATTAACCCAGGGGATTTCCTACTGTGACTCATTCGCTGAAATGGGTACAAGAAAACAGCCAGTCAACACTTTCACATTTAACAGAGTGACGCTGAAGTGGAATGGCTTGTATGTAAACAACTACCTTTCTAATCCTTCACGTTTTTCTGAGAAAGTTACTATCAGCAGAGGCAATGGTTCAAATATGCAGGTAAACAAGTGAAGACCTGATGAGCTCACTTCCTGTTACATCACCCTCACGCCACTAACAGTTTATTGGTTAAATTCATCTCACCATCTCAGAGAGCCCCACCTATTTTGTGGTCATTTTTTCTTTCTTGGTGCTTCAAGACAGATTTAAGATTGGGTTGAGATTTAAATACACTCAGCCTCATGAAGAATGTCATAAACTTCTTCATGCTTGTTTCCCACATGGAATAATTATGAGTCAAACATTTTTAAAATTGTTTATTTCAGAATTTCTTCAATCTTCGTAGGGTCAAAGTTACACATACAGGTTAAAATACACACTTTCACCAAACTGGCATGTTATGCAGCTAATTGCAGTGCCTTGTATTCACCACCTTTCCTAACAGGATTGAAATAGTTCATGTAAGTTTTTTTGGTCTGGTTTCGGGTTCAGGTTTCAACCACCTGACCCAAACCGCGAACCCCAGATGAACTGAAATGAGTTTCAGCATTCAGGAACAGTCCAACAACCATCAAAGTTCACACTTAAGGCTAAATCAAGCTTTTGACCAGAACCTGATCCAGGCTAAAACAAAGCTCAGACACTTTATGTTTATCATAGCATGATTTATTAAAAGCATTAGAATAAAAAAGAGCAGTTTGTGAAAGGCGGTAATGAGGAGACATGATCTCATTACACTGGAATGAATCCAACAGTACATGACAGCACATGCAAACCTTTTGTATGTATAATAGTTCATATTATATGTGAGCATTAATCACAATTAATGCTCATATCTTATTAGTGTTATATTAAGAACTTTCCATAATATTCATTTAATGTATATATATACACACAATATATCATTTTAAAAAATAGGTCATAATGCAACAGGACGCTGAAAGAACATTATCTGGTGCTGCATTGCTGGTCTCCAAGCTTCCACAGCTTTTAGTCTCTCAATTCCACCAGGGGAGAACTTAGGGGGGATTTTGGGGAGGTTACAGCACTGCTAACGCTTCTCAGAGACAAACTGAGAGGCGTGTGGTGAAGCAAAGAGACTTCCACAGCCTCGGAAACAATTAACCTGTGCACCAATGAGTCAGACCTCATCAGCAGGGGGATTGTCATCGAGGATACGAAGCTAATTAAATTTAAAACAATGATAGTGTCGCGTCTGTGTGTAGCACAAATCTGGCATCTTCTCAAAACATGCAACAAAAACTCAAAGCTTAGCCTGCAAAAAAGTTTGTGTAAGATACACATTGCTTAAAAACATTATATCAATACAGTTAATATGTAGAAAGTACTTTTGGAAATAAAAACAGCAGTGTATGCAGATGGCAGTAGTTAGTAACAGACAGAACTTTAAATTCCAGTGTAAACAGTTATTTCAGATATTGGTCCAATTGTTTCCTAAAGTTACATGACATCTTCTATAGTAATTATGCAGAACACAAAACTAGTGAATAATAGTGAAACGTCTCTGAACGGAATCCCTCCACTTTACACATTGAAGGTTCCCAGTTCATTATTTTCCCTTCTCACAGCTCTGTACGCTCGTCCAATGAAGCTGCAGTGGCGGATCCTGTCAAGCCGAACAAAGCATTGTCTCAGTATTGTCAGAATCAGTGTTTTATTTGGAGGTTATGGGAAAAAACCAACCTGGGAACGGAGACTGGAATGCATTTGTATTTGTAGAGCAGGAAAATGGTAAGTGTGAAAATGGTAAGTCCGATCAGTACCCCGATTGCAATTCCAATCCATGTTAGACTGTTAGTGTTAGACTGTTCCTCTATAGACACATAACAACACATAATTATCCAGCTTAGAATGTAATCAACAAAAGGAAAATCCGACACTATCATTCTAAACTTTTCTAACATCAAGCATCACACGACGAGAAATAAATTCAGGGTGTTTCACCTTCGTCAGTAGGTTTAGTGGTAGTGCTGTCTCCATGAAGAGAGTTCTTGTTGGCACACGTTGCTGAAAATGGGAGACATTTTTAATCAGAAAAAAATGAATAAAAAGTTAATTCTGAATGAATCTATGGAAAAAATGCTGATACTCATTTTATGTGCAACTTGTATATAAAAACTTTAACGGGAAAAAACTGTAGTATATAAAATTTACTGCTGCAATTTGCTGAGAAATACTTCAGTCCTCCTGGCATCTGAGGGAAATAAAGAACAGAGATTGTTATACACATTTTACGATATATAGTTTAAGCATAGATATATAGATCCCCACATCTGAAAAATGTAACACCTGTGAGCACTCTTGCTTCCAAGTCACATCAGCAAGGCATTCAGATGTTTCCAGAGTGCTGGAGTTGTGTCTCGTCGCCAGTGCAGTTTTGTCGTCATTGTTAGCAAGCATAATCTGGAGTCAAAATACAAACAAACAGGAAGAGATCAAAGGAAGGTCAAAATATCAGCTAGATTCATGTTTCATATTCATTATCACCATTAACTCAGCTTTGCCAGCCAATACCCAATTCCAAAGTACTTACTCCAATAAAATTGAGTTTAATTCCTTTAAATTAATTATTCAAGACTTCATTGGAAGTCAAATTTAATTTACCTGTACACTGTACTCTAAGACAAAGGAAATCAAGAAGTCAGAGATAAAGACTTTAATTTAGGACTTAGACTAGACTTAAGTTGCAAAAAAAGGCTTTAGACTCATGGACTGAGCCTCAAGTTGTTCTGACCATCTTTAAAAATAGAGAAAAGTAAAAAATAACCCCATTTGTAATCAATGTGTTTTGTGAAATGTAAAGTTAGAAACAAGTTGGCCAAAACCTTTAGTTGATCTTATTGTTGTCTATATTCTTTGTCACAGCTGTTGTTTCGAAAGTGCTTTATAAAAACATAGTAGTAGTGTACTGTAAAGTGCTGCACACTAGTGCAACTGATCCAAAATGCTGCTGCTCGCATTCTCACTAAAACCAGGAAGATGGAGCACATCGGCCCAATTCCTTACCATAAACCATGAACCAGAACATGGTTTTAAAAACAAGGACCACCTTGTTTTATTAACTCAACAGTTTGACATCAGCAAGTGTTAATTTCTTTTTACATGTTAATAGAACATAAATGAATATTTGTATTTCTAAAAAGGGTAAATGTAGGCTTTATCAATTTTCAACATAATTCATCATAGCATAATTTAATTTTCTAAACTTTAAGATGCATTGAGTGTTCATGAGCTAAATTAGACCTAAGGGGAAACTGTACATGAATTACAGCAACACACTTCCAGGCAGACTCGATGGCATGCCTTTGACAAAATGTTTATTTCAGTCCAAAAAGACAGAGACTAGATTTGGGTCTTGACTTGGACTTTAGAAACATGATTTGTAAACATCTCTTCAAGAAGAATGCACATTTTCAAGGGTAAAAACTTACATCCTCATTGTTCCACAGGTAGTCGCAAATGGCTTCTAAGGGATCAGAGAGGCCCAATATGTTGTAAAGCATCCCGTCACCATTTCTGGTGGGCTGACAGTCGAGGACGACAACTGCACTGCACATCTGAAGAAGGGAGGCTGAAAAAATAAAGTAATTAAACAGAAAAGATGCCAAAACACCAATTAAAATTCTTTATCTTTTAACTCTGGCTGTTCATGACCATTTCTGGACAGTGGCCAACAGAGGGCAGTGCTGCTGGATATTGGCCCTAATCCTTGTTATTGTTATTATAAAGAAAATACAAAATGTATTTCTTATGCTGACATGTGCTGACACAGAAACTGCAATTTATCTTTGATCACCTTCACATTTTTACCTCAACAATTAATTAAGTTGAGATGTTGCATTTTTAGCTCAAGCCTATAGAGACTGCCTATGGAAACTGTTTATCTGTTACATCAGTCGTCTGTAACTCTCAGCTCTTTGACTCAACACCATAAACCACTAAATATTGCTCCTTGTTCCTTTTGTTTTGGTTTTTGTTTCACTCTTCCGGGGCTTTGCTGAAAAACTACCACCACATTGAACAATTAACAGATAACCTTTGAACACCAAACTTGATCTTCCTTGTTGATAAATAACACGATAAAACAGGAAAGGGAAGCTGCTTCCCGTGAGTTATCATTAGCATTTTTGCTGCATGAATAACTTTGAGCTGCTGGCGGCTAGCGGCTCCGCGTTGTGTGAGGAAGAAGTGAAAGTATCACAAAGGTTATACAAGAACACACTGAGATCTAATAAATAGAGCATTCCAAGTAAAGTTATTAGTCATCAAACAGTCTTAAACACTTAGTAAGTGTCGTAGTTCAAAAATAAAGTACGTACAAAGAAACACAGCAGCTCTCCATTGAGACCACATGTTCGCCACGCCGTCTACAAGAAAGCCGCCAAAATGGCTGTTCTTCTTCTGTATTTTAGCTCCATTATTGTTGTTACACTACTGCCATCTACTGGATTATAATATACATCTATACCTCAAATTCTATTAATGATCCCAGTATTTAAAAAAAAATCTTCTTTTCCCCCTCAATGCTATTTAACTGATCAACCACATTTTCAAAGTTCAATTCCCTATTAAAACCTAATTCTGGTTTTAATAATCTTCTTTGATTTACATATTTTACACTGTTGGTAGCAGTGGCAAAAGAAAAGAATTAGTATGTTGCAGTCCAAAATCCAGACCTCAACCTGACTGAAATACTATAGTGCAACTTCAAGACAGCATGATGCTGCCGCTACCCTGTCTCACATTGTAGTGATGTGCTGAGGATAATGGAAGGTTTTAGTTTTCCTCCGCACATTGTGATTTGAAGGTGGGCAGTGCAAGTGATTCTTCCTCCTTTGCAGTACATTTTAGGAAGTTTATTGATTTTATCTAGCTAATAATAAATAAAATACAAAAGTTCATTATTTTGTACATTGACCATACAATATACATGTGTAATTGAAATTTAACATTATACATGTACAATGTATATACATTATACATGTATATACATTGTATGTATGTATATACATGTATAATGTGTATAATGTACATACATTATACATGTATAATTTCCAAAGGTTTTTTTATGTATTTTTTTTCTAAAACAAGAGAAAATAAATTATCACACACAAAAAAATATAATTAGATTTTTATTAAAATTTATGTAACTTAAATTAATGCAAAAAACAAACACCAAAAATAACACTGGGAACAGTCCCTTTGGGATAAGAGGGGAATTAAAAATTGTAAACTGAATGTCACTGTAACATATTTTGACAAATGCCGTCCGAGTGCCAATAAAAGCTCTTCATCCTCTTAATGATCTGTTTAACAAGTCTGAATCCAAGAGTTCAAATGAACACGAGAGATTAAAGTAACTGATTGCTTTTCTTATTACAGCCTTGAGCCTGAGTGGGAATTATGAATTGGCAATTGCTTTTAATAAAACTGTGTTACACACCACAGTGTCAATGTATTCGTCACACAAATTTAGAGCAGGGATTCAGAGTTATTAAACAGTTTTTCAAGTTGAGGATTAAAAGCAATTAGTCTGAAAGCAAAAAGGTGTTTGACTTTAAAATCCCCTTACATAAATTCTGTACTTTTAAAGAAGAATGAAAGCTGAGTGCAAAAATAGTTTTTGCAGTAGAAAAAAATAGGATTGTCACTTTGTTTTGACACATTTTTTAAAGCTTTTGTGCCCACTGGAGTTGTGACACACATATAGGTAGTAACGTCCTGCTGAACACAGTATGGATTTAACAAGTTAGCATCCAATCTGCTAAAGAAAACAACAGCGGTAGCTCTCACACGCCTTCTGTGTCGCAGTGTACACATACATAGGAGTGATAGGTAAAAACAAAACATAATAACTGACTGGCTGTAACAAAACATGGAGTTGCTGCATGTTTTTTTTTTTTTTTTTCATTGAAAGTAAAGGGGTGAACTGGTTTGTATTGCTTTGGCCTGGTGTGTGAACAGTCAGCTCGTGTTGTCCTTCTCTGCTCAGGTGGATTCAGAGCCATCAGAGATCCACAGACCGTTCGAAAACATGTCAGCAGGGAGAAGCTGGGAAAACTTGCTGATTTCACGAGCTTCTGTATCTATTCTACCAGCATTTTGTCTTCTTTTCCTCCCCTGGTTTTCCCTTCTTCTTGGCAGAGGTTTTACTTTAGAACTCAAACGTGTCTTTTTGTGCAGCTGAGTCTGTCTCTTCTTGGTCCCATTTGCCTGAGGTGAGGCACTCTTCATTGTTCAAGTCCTGAGGATTTACCCCAATGTCCAGGACCTGGGGGTTAGTGCGAGACTCAGCGAGTCTGCAAAAAGCAAAAGAAAATGAGACATTTTAAACTTAACTTAGACAAAAGACACAATGTTTACTTCACATGAGGATAAAAAAAAAATACAGCACAAATATTTCTAATCATCCCTAGTCTCATTAGATTTGACTTCCAATGCACAGCAGCTGCTCTTGTAATCTTCAGAGATGGCACCTGTAAAACTATATAATAATACAAGTCTCAACAGTGACGCATCGCAAACTTGTGTCTTGATGTTTCCTGAGCTGGGTGCTGCATTTGACGTTGATCATAACGTTGATTAGACTTAGAACAATCTGACGGAATATTAAATATTGTGGCTAAACTGATTTAAATATTACAGGTTATTTTGCTTCAGACATTTGGCAAATATACATTGAAGCAAACAGAGATCACACAGGTCTGGAGTTCCTCAAGGCTCTAATCTCATCCCACTTATATTCGACTTTAATTATTAGACCTTGTGTTAAACTTGCAAGGTTGTTTAACACATTTTTTTATCTGCATGTTCCACTAACACAAAATGTGAAGCAAAGATTGGCTTGGTTCCAAAGTATGGTAAAGAATATCTAAACCATCTTAGATCAGATTAAGTCTGGAATAAATTCTTTGCCATCAGATTTTTTTAAAGCCCATTTTGTAATCTTTGCTGCTTTGGTTTTGTCCGTAAACATTCAACAACTACAAGTACTAATATTTTGCTTGGCCTCTAAAAATAGAACCAAAAGTTCAGTGAAATGTCTCCAAATGCCAAAAACGCTGTGAAACAACCCCTTTTATTTTTTTTCAAATAAATGTATATTAAACTTGTATCTTCTTAGACATTAACTAACTTTTTTTTCCATACTCTACTTCATATTGATTTTGATGCTTGTGAACTCGATTCAGACAGAGTGGAAACTCTGAACATCTCATACCATCTATATGCTGATGACACACGATTGTATATTTGTGTTTTACTGTATGAACACAATCCCTTACAGTTACTGCGTAAGTCTAGTCAAAGCATGCCTCCGCAAGAATTGTTTTCAGCTTATCTACAAATGTCAAGTCATTATTTTTACTCCAATTAAAAAAACAATATTCTGCTAGTCTCAGGAAGGGTTAAAACTGCAGCGAGCCAAATACACTGGTGCTGTTATGGACTTAAACTTAAATTTTAATCAACAAAAAGTCCAACACAGGAAAGTACCCATGCCAAAAAAATATTTTTTCTTGTCAAAAAGGAGAAAAAGCTATGACATGCTTTCATTTTCAGAGTAATAGTGTCTCTATGGTCTCAACAAAGGAAAAAAAAACAGCACAATGCAGCAGCTACAACAGTTAAAAAGCCCAAATAACACTTTCAAACAGGCTGGAGAACTACTGATCTAAAGCTCTTAAAAGATTACAGGAAAGTCCCACTGCTTGGAAGCAAAATATAAAGAAAGAATGAATGAATGAAAACTTTTGCACTATATTATAAATATAACATGGGCATTCTGTTTATGATAGTGAAAGGTGAAAATAATATTTTAAAGAAACCAATTACAGCAGTTAATTTGATCATACTGCACCACAATCTGCTCTGTTAGCGCTACATGTGAACACACAGTCTGTGTCAAATGTGCAAAAGTGATGGATGTGATGCAGAAAAACAAAGGTCGTACATTGGTGATGAAGACGTGGACACAGTGGCTGAAAGTTCCTTAGGTTTGAGTCGACTATGTTAAACTATTTCAAAAGTAACACAAAGCTACACGCTGGAAATGTTCTGGCTGAACACAGATGAGCAGGCTGGAACGGTGGGTTGATGAGGAGGAAATGATTCATGACAATTGTTACCTGAGTAGGATTCAAAGCTATCCAGACTGCGGCTGAGGGGTGCAAAGGAAACATCACAAGTCAGGGAACAATTCAGCTTACAGCTCCTCCGAACCATTTCCTCATTAAGTTATAAATGGTCAATTTCTTCTCATGTTGTTTGATTCTATTGGTGCAAATTTAAATAAGACCAGAGGTTTAAAAAAATTGTAGATTGGTTTAATGTTTCCCTATGTTGGTACATTATAACTTCAAACATCAGTTTTTCTTATTTAGATTTAATGTGACAGACCAACACAAAAGGAAGAGAAGGAGAACCCGTGGAATCCTGAAGGAAAACCTGTTACTGACATATGATGGAGTTGCAGGAAGTACAAGCAGATCCGCAGTGGAGCAGTTTGGAGCAAAACGTGTGTCAGAATGATCTGAGTCCAGATCTAAATGCTAAAGGGATTTTTGTGACAAGGCTTACAAACTGCTATACAGCCACACTGAAAGAAATCTGTGTTCAGCTACCGTAATTTGTAAAGAAGAATGAAAATGAGAGACAGTTTTATATGTGCAAAGGTGGTAGAAATACAGAAAGACTTGAACCTGACAGGAAAAAATTATTTTGCCAAGGATTTGTAATCCTAAAAAAATGAGGGAAAGTTGGACAGCTATGTATTCCTTAGTGTTGGTCTGTCATTTAAAATCAGAATAAAATGGGACACACTGTGACGAGGCTTATACTCTAGTTGAATTCAACCAGCAGATGGCAGCAAAGGTTCAGATTGCAACAAGGTTGGACTCAAACATCTGAATTGAATTTGATACAAAATATTGCCTCCGAAATAATCTCTATCAAATACTCCACATCCTGGCTTTAATCCTTTATCTCTATCTAAAGTTCAACTGCGACAAACACAATCAGTGTCCAGCAAGCCGGCCCGATGTGCAGCCCCATCACAGCTTGCACTGTGAGCATCCTCATTAATCTAAGAACTGGAGACTAACGGCATCAACGTGTAATTACAGCGTGTGCAGACAAATAATCATCTGATAACGGGTCTGAAATGGCCTGTAGAGTCTGATTAAAAATACTCAGGATCCAATTTTCTTCAGCAGGACAAGACAAAATAAAATGCACTTATATTAAAAGGAAATAAAGCCCAACCTGGCAGCTGATCAACTTATTTCAGAATGCTCACTGAGCATTTACTTTAAAATACTTTTTTATGGATACTTTAGGATTATTCTTCCTTTGATTGAAGTTTAAAGTACCAAATAGTGTCTCAAAACAGAAAGATTTGTTGATGGAATATAGAATCACTGTGTGGGCCTCGACCAGAGCCAACATACGGAGCATGACTCAGGTCAAATGTCAGCTAAACTGGAGCCTCTTCCTGCCTCTCCTGTCTGCTGGAGTGTAACCGAACCAAGAGAGAGGCTGTATTTTATTATTTGATCTGGCAAGCCCAAACTGAGGACTTGGAAGTCATTATGCCAATTTAATTTCAGGAAACCCTCCAAACGTCACTGCAACCCTCACCTTGAAAACGCCTCATCCAGACCATCCTCCAGCTCCTGTCAGACACAACACAGAGAAATATAAGGTTTTACTGTGAAAACATGCATGTATGTGAAACTCGCCTTCTTTCCCTGTTATCAAAAGTCCCACACCCTCCTCTGCCATGTGTGCATTAGATAAGACCGCTTCTGTCAATAGGCTATTGTCCACCTCAAAGCGGCTACAGCACAACCATGGTGCCCACTTTGACCACAGCAAGTAAAGTATATCACTTGGTAGCATTTAATCAGTATTTCTATGAGGCATTCTTCTTATCAAACCCCAGCAGCTGAGACATGTTGGCCAACACCACTCTTGTCTTACCCAAACGGTATTGTTGTTCTCCGCCGAGTGATTATTCACCATGAAGGGATCCGACTCGGCTGGTTTTGCTCCTGAGTGGGCCTGTGCCGCTTTGGCTCCCTCTGCAAACTCCAGGAGAGTTGCCGTGGCTGCATCTGTAAAACACAGGAAAAGTTCACTCCATTTGAGTGCGTACTATTAGCAGATGTTAGTTTCAGGCATGTGTGAAATCATTAAAGCAGCAAAGGAACTTATTACGGTAATCAACGATCTGCTGCCAAAAGAGTGCAAGCTCCTGACTTTCATAACTAACACCCACGATGTCTCTGGTCTGCAACGAGATTGGTTTGTAATAGCACACATGATGATTAATGTGTATCAACACTAATCTTGGTCCAATCCTAATGTATGGGTCAGTGTGTGTGATTTTTAATATCCGCACCATCCAAATCCAATATGAGAGGCAATCTCTAGCAGAGAGTAATCCACAGTACAGATTCACCTGCTGCTGCAAGATCTCATGACAACTCAGACATGTTTAAGTTTACAGCATTTTGCCCTTTTAGAATGTTTTAAGTTGCAAATTCAAGTACTGTGTAAATTTCTTTTATTCTTGTGCTGTAGGTCATATGTTGCAACAGTTCTTTGGTAAAAATTTGTACTTTTCCAAACTCAAGCTTTTTACACATTTCCTTTTCTAACATTTTGGACATCTGAGAAGCATTTACCGTTTTCTGTTCTCAGTTACCGCTGATGGAGCTACAGCTGCCAGTAAATACTGGTACTCTTTTTGTCTTTGTTCTCCCCTGGTCTAGTTCTTTTGTGTGTACACGTGACTCTTTCCTCAAATGTGCCAGTGACAGCGACATTAGGTTTATACACTCCTCGTATTTGTTCCACATAGAAAGTGCTCCTGGTTCAAGTGAGATTGGAACAGAACACATAACTGCTAAACCTGCTCCTATTGAAGGTTTCCACTTAGTGACATGGGAGATAAACCTTTGAATAAGACATTTTTGAGCTCAGTATTTGTTTTCAGGGTTGATGAAAAGGCAAAAAACAGAAAAAAAATTACACACACACACACAAAAAAAAAAAACAATGCAGCTGGTTTGGCTATGTTGCTGGATTGGACCGATTTGTCTTATTAAGTGTCTACCAAAGGCATTTTTTTGGGAATCTAAGAATTAGATGGTGGAATTGAAGCAGATGACAGGCAATGACAGTAAAAGCCTGTTTGTCACATTCTCAGAATATTTGAGAATGTTTCTTTGGCATCTGTAGAAAATATGTGAATTTCCATACAAAACATTATATTAAAAGAAAAACAATATTTCACTGAGAGAAAATGCAAGTGTTATTTGTAGTTTGACATTCAGCCTTGTGTAGAGTTAGACCTTTGGTAAGGAAGATGATACCCCAGCAGGAGAAATCCCCTGGCAATCAGGATGGGCTATAATTTAGAGCCGCAGTAAGAGACGCGGTTCCAAGAGAGAGTTGAAGGTATCATGTCACATCAATAAAGCTGACTCACCTTTCAGCAACGCTGCTGAGCCGTGACATGCTATTTGATCACAGTGAACGGTACAAGAATGTAACTTTCTTACTAAAGAAAAAAGAAAAAAAAAAGATCTTCCTCCAACTTCTACTTCAGAGGATTGTTCTGTCTGTTTCCCAGAAGCACTCTAAAGCTTCCTTCCCCTGTACAATTATGCCAATTTGCCTTGAGGAAATTCCTTTCCTCTGGCAGTTAAATGACCCAACAAGTCCAAACGTGTTGACACAGAGCTCCTGCTTTTGCAAAAAAAAAAAGTCCAAGACTTGTTTCTCTGAGGATTATCCCAAAAAACCCCACGTGTCATGAAACGTTTCACATTCAAGGCCACATGTAGTGTCAGGATGGATTTAGAGACGAGATCCCTGTCTGGCCTGAGCCCAGCTGGCCGAGCAGAGGATGAAGGTTGCTACAGAGTGGATGTTTTCAGATTTTCACAAAATTCAGGCTTTTAGAAAGATCAGGAAGAAAACAATGAATAATGTAGTGTGTTGTTCTGGTATCAGAAACAGAAAGGCTCTCTGTGAGCGAACCCTGCAGCCATTTTAGAGAAATAAAAACAGGATTTTATCTGGATGAGTAGATGTCGACATGTTAATGGCCGTATCATCTTACTAATTCAAATCAAACACAGTCTTATTCATGCTTTTATGAATAAGACTGGGCTCCACTGTATGATAATAGCCGTTATCGCAGATTGTCACAGGGATTACTGAGGCAGGATTTATTTCAGCAGATCACAACGCGGCCGATTGCTTCTAAATTAAAGAGTCGATTATCATCAAACACGATCACCTTAAACTGTCACTTCCTGTTCAGATTAATGGCGTCTTACTGTGAGAATCTAGCCGACCTGCAGCTCCGATGTAGGCCAACCTTTTAACGAGTGGCCGAACACTCTTCCTCTCCCCCCTGAGAATATGATTGCTGTGACAGCGAGGGTGAGAAAGACGTGATGACGGGTGACAGGACTCACCTCCTCCCTTCAGGCTGCCCAGGCTGGCCGAGCTGTCCGACTGAGAGTTGCTGGCTCCTTCGCCATCTGAACCCGACTTCACTCGTTTCTCTTTGTCTGTGGACGATAAGTCAGCACAAAGAACAACAAGTCAGCGAAGGTCAAGAAGGTGTGACCAACTCTTCTGCAGTGCACTGCTTAAAGTACTGCTATTTTTCTAGCAGCTGAAAAATAAGTAGAAGTAAAATGTTTGACAAACAGGTCAAACTTTGTTGGATTTTATTTCTAGAACCATGCATCATTATCCCTCTACTTCATAGCTATTCACTAGTTTGCATTGGTCCATCGCATGAAATCACAATAATAACTTGACGTAGTAATGCAAGGAAATATGAAGAAGAAATTAAAGACGCAAGTCATCAATTAATGAGTTAATCTAAAGCTGATTGATCTCATCCCTTGACTAACAATTAATTGATACGTGGCCATTTTATTGAAAACCTGACTTTTTTCTCTTGTATCAAGAGGGCTGACCGTCTTTCCATTAACAAAGATGGATTAAAAATATGTAAAAAAAGTTATTTTTGTCAATATGTTGAATAAAAAATAATAATAATTTCCACGTTATTTTGTGTCAGCTGTATTATACAGCTACTGAATAAACAGAAAATATTGGTTTTTCTCACAATAGACATATTTATAAGATACACCAAAACAGGAACCACTTAGGTTGTTGAACAGAAACATAAAAGATGAAAATAATGAATGACGCCTTTTTCTAGATGGTGGCCAAATAATAACACTAAAAGAAGGCTTAGGTGGATGTTAATCGATTGGAACCAATTTTAATCTAATAAGTCATTGATCATCAAGTCGATTAATTATTTGCATCCCTAATATGAATACAGCAAGCACTGTAAGAGAGTAAACAGAAGTTAAAGTGGCTCCTAAAACATCTGTTGGCTTCGCCCTACAGGAGGGCACCGTCTGCACCTCCAGAGGCATCTCGTGCATAAACACAGACGGATAGAGAGCTCTACTCACAGACAGTTTTCAATAAAGTGCAAGTCACACAAAATGAGCAACAACAGCCGGTTGTAGACTTCCTGCAGTGCAGCGCTACAGTAGCGCCTCCCCTTGCAGAGCGATTTCTGGGCCTATATTTATCACCCTTTCACAGAACGTCTGGACTGAATGGCACCAATAACTCAGCAAAGGTTGAGACTTCTCCCTCAGAGGACAAAGGTCTATTCATAGGACAAAGCTGGACAATGCATTTGCACAACACTTCACAATGTCGACTCCATGACAGATTATGTATTGTTCTCTGACATTCTGTTGGGGAAATCTAAAGGTCAAACGACATGGCACCAGCTCTCACGTTTTAGGAGTGAAAGGTGAAACAAACTTTTTAGACTGTCTATTCTAAAATACTTTTATGTTTTATATATGCAAACACATATCTGCTTTTCATTTCAACAAGGTAAAAAAACAATACTTCTGCTTAGTTTTACTACACATTTCAAAAGGTGGGACAGCAGGACCATCACTCAGCCGGGCTGAGACCAATTTTTTGTGGACATGTGAAAAAAGTTACACGACAGGTTTACTGCTTATTTGTGTGTATCCAAGCTCAGGTACTGCAGTAATAACAATGTTACTCATGTTATGCTGCGTGCACAATCTCTGCACTGATTAAGATTCATCCACGTCAGCGTCCTGGAAGCCTAAAACTGAAAATGATACTGACAGCACGACCTAGTTTCTGATCGATTTTGCTGGCAGCTTTACAAATCAGAGAGGAAATCAAAGATGATTGAACTACCAAGAGCTCAGTTGACCCTGACATAACAGTTCTAATGTTGCCGAAAACTCAGAAGATTGCTTTGGGAATCCACACCCTTAATCTCAATATGTGCTCACTGTTAAAAAAGAAATTTATAGAAAACAACACAAAAACTTTGTATATGTGACAGAATTGATGTTACCCTTCCAAAAAAAAATCAGCTTCATATCCTTTTGTTAGGCACTTTTTTCAGTATGTCAACATGCATGGCAAGATGGATGTCAAAATTTGAGAAATTAAAGTTGTCACAGTTCTTGGAATTTTAAAGCATTTTTTTTAAATTACACAATTCTGCAGAGATTTTTATTTTTATGTCAAATTGCACTTCTTCACCAACAATGGTGTTTTTTTTGTTTGTGTTTTTTTTTTTTTATCTCAGTGTGTGCAAAGGTTTTTGTTATTACAGCCCTACCCTAAAGGGCTGGCCTACTGCAAATTAAGGTCCTGTGGAGCAACAGCAGGCAAATATTTTTTATTTCGTCACCACCCATCTATTTAGAAAAAAAAAAAATCAATCTCCCAAGAGTCCCGATAGCTTAGCAATGAGAGAGAGCGATGAAGGTTTCCCCAGGCGCTCTGAAGCTCACTCCGGCTCCTCCTAAACAAGCCGATGTAAACATACTTCCCTGCTGTAGTGTTTACAGTGAATATTCTATGAGAGCAGATTTAAGAACAGAGTTGGGAGATGTAATATACGGAGGAATGTGGGTCAGGCATGTGTGTTGCACTGAGGAGAACCACAGTGGGTGGTGCGAGAAGAGCTCTTCCAAAACACAAGAAAACCAGACTCCTGTTCCTGCCTGCCTTAATCCTGAGGGGTCAGACTCAGAAGATTACTTTGGGAATCAGTTTCTAAAGGAAATCTGTTTACAGAAAATATATATATATATACTTTGCCTCTTCTGAAGTTTCAAGGATGAGGAGAAGGATAACGTGAGCAGAAGAAGGGAGCTTGAGTGAAACACTAAAAAGGTTTAATTCAATTTTAAGTATTTAACCGAAAGCATGAAAAATAAAAGGTCTGAGTAGGTGTGAAGCGAGGAATCCTTGGCCTTGGTGTAAACAAAACACAAAAAAATGTATGTCTTCCTTAGAAGACATAAGAAGGAAAAGCTGGTAGAAACGTTGCCTTTCGTCTGGTGCAGACGTGCGTCTCTAAAGGACTGCATAAATCAGCCTTCGTGTGAGACGGCATCCAAGGCACTGACATTGAACGTGTCATGGGGCTGAGCTTCAGCTGACACAAGCGCACAATCATTTTCCTTTCTCTCAGCAGCCCTCTGAGCGCCACCCTTTTATGCTTTATTGCCCCCACATCCTACCCAGTTGCTCCCTCATTCTTTATCAGCCTTGGCAGCAAGCACCGGGATGAGCACTGATGGGAGAGACGAGAACGCTTCTACGATCAAGCTGCAGGTGCAAAACAATGCAGGCAGCAAATGGACAATCAATGAATTCAAAAGACCACCAACAAGGCAACACACATGTAAAAAATGAGTAAGGTGGTGGTGAGAGGAGGACTGGGAATGCAGGAACTATAATATGTGGTATGATATGCCCATTTACAGAGGAGTCAAACATGCAGTAAATTACACACATATGCTCTACTGAGCTTTAAAAAAAAACAAAAACAAACAAACTACTGCTTGGTTTAGCTACCCTGCTCACACAGTTGCTCCGACTGTATGCTGTCTTCAAAGACATAAACTTAGGTATATTAAGTAGAATATTAAAAATATCAAAGTACCAGCAAGACTAATAAAACACACACAAATATATAATAAGGGAAGGAAAGCACTGTGTTTAAGGATGCAGTGAAGAGAAAATCCACGTTCCCACACATCTGCCTCGGGCAACACTTAGTTCATTCACAGTCCTCGCTCGCTAAAACCTTACAACTTCCAAGACTGAAATGTCCAGATTTTGTTGGTTTTTGATGTTCAGATGTGAACATCACCAGTAAATGTATAAAAAATCAAAATTTTCTCTCTAAAGACCCAGAAAGCCCAAGTTAGCATATTAAACAAAATAACAATGGCACAAATAGAAAACAAGCAGGGCTTGTTTGGAAAGGCTGAAAGCACAACAAAAATATGGCAGCACAACTTGGATTTACAAAGGTGGTTCTGGATCAACCACAAGACTTCTGGAACATGCAAAAGTCCATCTCAACCTCATTGACCTTTTGGTTCCTGTTAGAAGAACTGGTTCAATAACTGGTGAACATTCAGGGGAAAAAAGATGTGTAGAGCTTGGGTTGGGTTCTACAGTCAAATGTAAGAAAAAGCTGAAGTTTGACTCAATCTAGTCATCAACAACAAACCAAATCTAGAACAGAAAAGCTGAATAAACCTCAACCTCAATAAAAAGCAGTGGTGGGTTCTTAAGAAGATACATGAAAACTTGCAAAGTAAATATGAAGCAATGCTGTAAAACAGAGAAAAATTCTTTTTTTTTTTCATTTTGTTCTTGTCTTGTTTTATAAATGACAGAATGTATGTTACAGAATAAATCATATTCATTATAAAAATGACAAGGTTGTGAAACAGTGAACTTAGAACAGCTTATGCGAGCAATCAAAACACTGCACAGTTTCACTTTGATCGACAGAAAAAGGAAATAAACCACTAATGCTGACTAAAATACAAAATTATTTCAGATCCTCTTTTACATCTTTATTGACTGTAACCTAGAAAGTTGAATTTGCATCTCCAGATTCTGAGTTAGTAGTTTTTAATTTTTTAAACGCTGATTCAGCTTAAACGGGCCTAGAAGATTCTTAGAGGTGATTGTTACAGTTAGCCATCACTAAACTCAAACAGCTCTCTATGTGCACTAATTCATGGTTTGGTTTAATTAATGTGGCTGTAAAATTTCTCTGAATGTGTGAAAAATAGCTACACATGCATTTTTCTGTTGACATGAACAGGATAAAGAAGAAAGGTGAGGGATGTGTAGGCCGTAAGGTGAGTTTTCACTCATCTGTCAGAGGGAAACTGTGACCATACGTACCTTCCTTGGAAGCTTGCCAGAACTCGAATGCCACTCTGAAAGCCTGAGCCACCGTCAGGGTTACGGCCTGGGCCTGTGAGGAGAGACAGATGTCAGTCGGGGATGAAAAATACCGTCACGCGTGTCAGCGACAGGAAGGCGAGAGCCGTCGTCTTGACACAAACAGGAAGCGACCGCAAACACAGGAGGCTTCGTCTTAAGGTACTTGAGGAGAGGCAAGAGGAACCAGTGGATTGCATGACTAGTTGTTTGTGCGACTGGGAGGATACGTGGCCTTTTGGCCACAACTAAATTAGTGGGAGGAAGGAACAAGAGGGAGTGGCTCCGTCATTCAGAAAACCTCCAGGGATGCGAGAATGCCAAGAAGAAGAATCACAGCCTCTTTGACTTCCTTCTTCTAACTTCACATGTATTAGTCTGCATGAATAAAAGTCGAAGTGTTGCAGGAGCGAATGGGTTTTCTGAGTGTTTTCCATGTTGGTAGCACAGCTAAAATTACCTCTACTCCATGTTTACGGCTCTGTCCACATCATTTCCTGTCGCCCTGGACAACACATTAACATTTCAGAGAGGTCACTCCCACTGAGGGTAGTTTGTTGACTTCCAGGAAAATTGTTTCAGTCTTCGTTGTAAGAAAACTCATCATTCTATGGATTTATGAAACGAGATTTTCTGAACCTGCACAACGCAGGCTGCATCTCAATAAATCAAATCAACACAGAATAAATCGATTTCATTAATTCAATTAAATTCAAAACTAAACTTAGACTCATATTACTCTCCTTCATTACATAAAGTTAAGAATTTCAAGAGTTTTGATAACCGTATTTAGTATTGAAAGAGGTTTGAATATTTCATAAGAACAGTAAAAATTGACGTTTCACATAGAGGTGTTAGCGACAGGAAGGCGCTAACACCTCTACACTGTCATAAGAACACTAGTGACACCACCCACAAGGAGTGTAAACCCCACAATGTTATCAACAAAGAAGCTGGCAGTAGAAAAGGTGCTGTACACAAGCATTTTCATGGAAAGTTGATTGGAAGGAAAAACTGTGATAGAAAAATGTGCAAATGGGCATTGCACATTCTTCTGTATATGATGTGGTTGGAAGCAGTCCTTCAAGAGCCTCTATGCACAGACGTATCAGAACACGATATGCATGTGTCGAGTTAAACCATTTAAAAACCAGAGAAAACATCACAATTTCCTTACCTGGGGTGAAAAGGACATAACTGTTGCTCAGTAACAAAGTCCTACTTTCAATTTTTGGGTCCTCTAAGTGAACATGGGCCTTAAACGGTTAGCATGCCCGTGCGGGCGGGATCTTATTATTACTCACCATTTTTCTCTTGGAGCAGAGGAAGGCGTGACACTCGAGAGTCTCGTTGTGCTGGCTCTGGGCGATGTAGGCAAACACCTTATCGTGCATCTTGTCCGCAGTGCAATATGATATTCTGAAATAAACACATATGCAAGCACTTTAACCCAATTACAGAGAAAGTAGGATGATTATCTGTGCCTAAAATATCTATTTTATATGGGATGTTGCTTTTTGCAGTCTCTGGCGCTTAAAAGTGAAAGGGAAGTAGAAGGGCGTCCCGCTGTGCCATTCCCGTGTCGTGTGGCGGTAATAAGTCCTGCTCGTCAGACTCAGGTGCAGAGAAAGCCTTTAAATCAAGCTATAATGACTTACAAATAGCTTTTCTCCATCACTTCAGAATGATGTCGTTATTCTAATGTTGAAGCCATGAGCAGGGATGGACAGGCAAAAACAAGGATGACTTTAATGAATTTCTGCTATCTGTCCTCTGTCTGCCCTTCTTGCAACACTGAGCATCATCCTCACTGTCCAATCATCCCGAGTCATAATATTTGAGGTCGGGTTTGAGCAACAAAGATTTGCTGCAAATATTTGGGTGGGGCGACATTAGGGAAACCAGAAGTCTAAGGAACTTTTTGCTTTTTTCTCTTAGCAGATGTATGAGGAACAAAGCTGCATTCCACTCAGAGCAGCTGCTTTAGGTTTCTGCACCACCACAAAGTCACTGCTGGACTCAACCTGAAACAATCTGCTTGGAATCATGTTTAAAAAGGTGTAGCATTTCTGAGCAAAATGACAAAAACAACACGAGAGAATGTGGCACGCCGGAAACAATATGAGACGCTGAAGCCATTAGCTGCCAATGGAGATAAAATAATGAATACATGGATTTGCACACAGAGAGGTTTAAACAGCAGGAGCTTCATGAGTGGAACTGATCCGATTTGTGGCCAGTGGGTTTTAGAAAGCTCTTCAGGATCTTATACCAGCAATTAGTGCTTAATACAGCGAGGTTTGTGTGTTTTCAAAGAGAATCCACACCAAAAAGATTCGTCTCGGCATGTTCCACAAAAGCATAAAACAGATCAACTTTGCTGCAGTCAGATTATACGTTTTTCTTTTGCCCTCTCACAGCCTGAATGACCTGAAAAACTATCTGAACATGTTCTAGAAAATACCGCCCAGGTTTCTGCATCTACTTATATCTTTGCTTCCTCTGAGATTCTTTCTTCTTTAACATAAAAACAAATGGATCTGAGTTTTTTTCTAAGAAACGCAAAGTGGAAATTGATGTGTTCACTGTCAAAAAAAAAAGATTGGATTTTTGAGTTTACAACAAAGCTGATCAGAAGGAGCCAAAATATTGCCCCTCACCAAATTATTTCTTCTTCCATCTTAGAATAAGTAAAGGACAGTTCTGTGCAAGTAAGACAGAAAAGCAGATGGAAATCAATCGACATTGAGGCAATTATGTTAATTTATGCTCAGATGTAATGTGACTTGCACCACAGTAAATTAATATGCTAAGTTAATATGCTTAGAGGTTACATTATGGATTTTTCATTTCCACAAATGAAGCCTTTTTCAGTTCAGAGTATTTCGGACTTCCTCTCACTGTTAGGATGCAGCGGACCTTTACTTTGACTTCTTTCTAATTTTACTTCCTCCCTCTTTCAATAAACTTTGAGTAAAATAAAATAGCAGATGAATGCACATCAGTGAAATAACCATAGACCTGCACATTCAGAGTTTGGCTGAGAAAGAGCAAAAATATAACTTCAGAATATCGTAAGCCATCTGTGGAGCATTTATGGAAAAGTCCCATCTCTTCTTGATATGCAGACCTATATAAGTGAATTAAGTGAAAGGTGAGTCATGCCGGGTTCATCGGGTCATGAACTAAGCTCGCAGGCTGAGGCAGGTGAGGTTTTAACGAGAGAAGACAGATGTGGCACCCTGTGACACCTGGGGCAAAAGCTCAGACTTACAACAGCTGCGGCGTTCCCAAAGGAGTTAAGATTGATGAGAAAAACAGCTGAGAGGGCGACTCGTCTTCCTGTCCCTCACAGATACGCCACACATCCACAGAGTGATAAATGAGAGCCAGGCAGGAACAAGAACTTTGCTTTAGTTCGGCGTGATCGGGTCGAGGTTGGTTGGACAGGATGACTGACCTGTATATGGAGATATTTTCTATCAGCTGGTTTGAGGCACTGTCGTAAAGGATGATTCCACGAGGCGAGACCGTCAGCGTGACTTTCTGGAGCTTTTTCCCACTGGCTTTGGCCTAGAAAGGAGAGAGCAGGGAGAGAGGGAAAGGGCGGAGGTCACAGAGAAGACAATACAGGAGGGAGTATGAGAGAAAAAGATAAATCTGCATTTCTAAATTACAACCTGCGGAGCTAATTGGTGATGTAGTCAGACAATGAAAAGTCACCAGTGAGATGACAGAGGGGTACTAAAACTGCCACGTTTCAGCAAGCCTTTCATTAGGCTTTCAGATATATGTGAGACCAAACAACAACTGCAGAGAGAAAAATCAGACATACAAACAGCCCTTCACATTTTCACAAATTATCTTTCATTGCAGAAGCAAAACCCCATGAAAGTTTGTTTGAATTTCAGTAAAATAGAGTTTGTTTTAAGATGAGAAGAATTTCTAGGAACTTTTTGTTTTTAGTCATCTGTACATTTGGGGTAACATCGCGCTGAGGTCCATTTGTCTTGGTTATTCCTCAAAATCGGAAAGAACCGTTAAAAAAAGTAAAGAACACAGTTGCCAAGTTGCTACAGCAACCTTTGGACGCCATAGCTGTTTGGGAGAGATGGCACAATCACAAATGTACACATGTAGCTCTCCTCTCTTGTTTTGTTTTTTTTATATTTGTTTTAGGACTGAGTTGGTAAGGGGTATCAAGATGTTGCTTATGTTTTGTTTATGTTTCACCAACATAAAATGTTTTATACGTTTACATTTTGTCCTTTGTGATACTTTAGTTTTTCTCTCAAAAACTGAAATGTAATTTATTCAGATCAGTAGAAGATTGATCTTCTTTCCTCATAATAATGATATATTTACTTTCAGTCTGTATTATTGGTGGGGGGGGAAGCAGCTCATGTCCACTGCTGGGTACGATGGAGGTCCTGGAACGATGCGAGTCTGTTTCTCCTTTAAAGACCCTCATTGAAGTGAATAAATTCTTAAAAATCGCAGCACATTTTAAACAGATATCTGTTGGCTTCTGGCAGAAAACTGAAAATAGGGGAATCATGGAGTCTTCCAACCTATAAATCAATACAGAAAGATTTGAGAAGAAGAGAGAACAAGAAAGGCTCCGGGCTCTGGAGATCTACAGAGAATGTGCAAAGAGAAATTGCCAAAATATGAAATGTTATGAAAGACTAAGAGCATCCCAGTTCATAAAAGAGAGTAATAAGTGCAGGACTGTGGCACCAGAGACGAAAACTTTCTCCAGAGAATAAATGTACGCAAATTAAAGGTCGCACTTTTCTAAATTTTCAGTATGAGATTACAGCACTGCAGTAAAAGCTTATTTTATCTTAAAGCTTTTCACAAATATTTACCAACACTGAAGGTAATGTATATCTAAACCATAAATGAACCGAGGCAGTTACGTAAAACAACTCCATCATGCCTATAATCTCACTGCCTAAGTCTTGCTATTCATCAAAATGTCAGAAAACATATCAGTTTAGCTGTAATCCGCTTTAGAGCGGACACCAACAGATTAGACTAAATCAGAGCCTTTTAGTTCCCCCCTCATTCATCAGCGTCTCTCAAGAATCCCACCATTGTGCCGTCTCTAACTTCATTATTCACCGAGCTGTCGGCTCCCATAACATTAAGCCGTTTCTACCGGAGCCGCAGTCTGAATAGCAGGGTCCACACTAATTGTCTTCTACAATGTCAACGATGCGTTTGAAGATCACATTTCACTGAGGTGCCAGTCAGGTCATAATCCTCTGGAGCGGCAGAGGTGATGATGTGGAGAAAATATTATAAATGCTTGACAGAAACTCCTTTTTCTGTTGGTAGGTTATTTACATAGAGAGGAGATTTGGGTGTTTAAGCTGATTCAGGTTGTGTTAATGTGTGTTTGTGGTGTTTTACCGTGGCAACTATCCTCTTGACGGCGGCTGCAGAGAGCTCCTCGCCTTTGGGCTGCTCCACCATCGTCACCCCCAGGTATTTGAGGTGAAACACCATGCCCTCCAGGAGAGTCTCCCTCGTGTCCGTCCAGTTCTCTGGAAGCTCTACAAAAATTACACACACAAACGCACAGCAGTGAAACTTCTGAACACAAACAACATCACAAGGAACGTCCTGTCAATGCAAATAAAAAGCTTTTTTATGATGCTGCTTATGTTTTATGTTTCACCAACATTGTGATTGTGATTATTAGAAACCAGCAGAGATATTAAATATTCTGACAATTGTCCCTTGATCATTTCTGACCGGAGGTAGCCAGAAAAGATACAGAAAAAACACAGAACAATCTGACTTATTTCCTATTAATTTCATAAATTAGAACACAAAAACTTCCACTTTTTGGCCTATTAATGTGTCAGCAAACAGAATGTCATGTGTTGCACTTTTTTGACACTAATAAAGATCAGATAAAAAAGTTTCATTAAGCATATTTAATATTTAAGAATATTTAAACATAAATGGGAATAATATTATAATCCCTTCACTTTCTGTTAGATCCAAAATCACTCCCAATATCAAGGAAGCTGCAGCATATTAATTTTCTCTATGAAGTTTGTACAATTGGTCAAAATTGTAACTGGCAGGTCTAAGAAACAAAAAATAGTTTTCTGCATTTTTATTTAAAGCCCTAATTTTATTTGTGAAAAAACATACATGTATAAACACAAAACTTTGAGTAAAAAAACAGCCAAAGGTTATAAACATAAATTTTAATTCTTCAAAAAAATTCTAATTTAAGATGGGACTGAAACTGAGGCAATTTTCCCATCGAAAAGCGTAATCAGGAGCTCAGTTGGTCAAACGCTAACAAGGGGTCGACTGCTGGACAGTGAGGCGGGTCTGTTGACACTAAGGAACAACATGCTGTGTTTTTTTTTTCTTGGATTGATCTCCAGCACTATTATCTCCACATAAAATTAGATTATATCTTTTGGAAGAAGCCGTGCCTCTTAAAAGTGATCTGGGGATTTGTGAAATTAAGGCCAAGACAGTCTAAAGCCAATCTGGAAATATCATCTGAACCAGAAGCTCAAATATAATCTAAAAATCTCAAAGCTGTAAAAACAGTTGCATGAAGTTGAGAACGGTCAAGAAATCCAGATGCAAGCTTAGTTTAGCTTAGAGTGATTGAATTTTTTACAATTCTGTTCAAAATATGTAAGATTCTAACACAATCTTACAAAACTTTCTATGGCTAATATTTTACTAGTTTATTTAAATCAAAATTTCTACATTACGAGTATTGTTACAGAGTTTATTGTATTTTTTTTTTGTTTGTTTAGTTTTTTTCTCGCATCCCAATAATACAACCTGAATAAATATGAGTGAAATAAATGAATAAATGTGGATCGCTCTGCTTTACTTTTCTGTTGTAATAAACATTTGGAGGTTAAAATAGATTGGGAGCATAAACTTCCTCTGACCTTCTCACACGCTTCAACTTTATCCATCCCAGTTTAAATAGCTACTTCCTTTAATCACTCCATGTAATATGCTTAGTAAACGTCATCAGAAGCAGCACTGAGCTCTTTTAAACCATCAGAAATCCCAAGACTTCAGTTGATTGCCATCTTCTGAACACATCTTTGCAAAGAGACATAATTCAGAGATTCTCTAAAGCATCAAGTCAATTTAATACGAGCATGAGTACTGGACCATGTTAGAAATATTCTAGTGGTCTGTCATTTGGTTGATGAGAAACTAAAAACTACTTCAACAATGCGGCGCTAAAATAAAACTAGACACAAAAAGATAAACAAAGCTAGCAGAAGCTAGAAAAAACTTTTTCTTTGATGCTTAGAACAGGATTCCTAGGATGTTGTGTGAGTGTGTGAGAGGGAATCCATTTGTCTCTTCAAAAAGCCCAACAAACACCAAACACCAACATGGCCTTCAGTATTTTCAAAGTGATCTGTGTTATATCGTCACTATCAGGAGGTTTTTAATCTAAGAAGGGATCCAACACAAAGTTGATGTATTTAACGTTATAATACCGGAAAGACAGGAAGCAGGCAGAAAAACAAACAAACAAACAAACAAACAGGTCTTTGGTTTCTACTGTGCTGTGCTCCAGCAGTCCACCAAACAACCCCACCCTCTAATCATCTCCATCCCTGTTAAGTGCCTCGTTGCACCATCAGTGTTTGGTCTTCTTTTGTTTCCTGCTTAATTATTAGCTCCATCTCTCAGCAGACGGTATTCCCCCTGCCACAATCTGCAAACAGTTCTGGTCTTTGCAAACACAAAACCATTTTGCTCTGGCTGTAAAAATGCATAATTATGGTGTCCAGATTGTAGACATAAGAACTCGTCAAAATGTGGACAAACTTGTGTCATTGTAGAGAGACGCCATTTGCTCGGTAAAATTATTTTTAGGGACATATCTGCTTCTGTGTCCCATTTGAGAAAACAAAGACATGTTTTGCACATATTAGTGCCCATAAATACCCCTAAGCATTTTAGAAATGCTGTGGATATAAAAAAAAAAATAATAATTGTTTGTGGTGGATATCTGAAAATTTGACGAAAATGCACTTTTTATGTTTGTCTACCTCATGTTTCACTTTGCCCTTCCTTGGTATCCATAAAATTTATCATTAGCTTTGGAAGTTCTTTGTTTTAGGAGAGAAAAGTGTCAATTACTCAACTAATCACTTATTGCAACAGGCTTATTTTTGTGTGAACTTATATATTTGATGGAGCTATTACACCTGGATTTCCTATCTATATCCATTCTATTCTATTAATTCACTTTGTGTTTCATCATCTGTATTACTCTGTATCCAAAAATAAACATCAAGTGTGCTTTCCATTCAAAACCTGTATGCCAACTAGAAATGTAACCCATCTTGCACTACTTGTGAATATTCATGTTGAGTCAGAGTCTTTACTTATTTTAAAAGCTTTCCTAATGCATTATTTATTGAGAGTGAACACTGTCTGTCATTTAGAGTGCAGAAATCATTAGTTCTGTGGCAGGAAATTAAAACCTATAGTATTCCTCTCTTTGGAAGCCAAACCAAGCCAGCTGCACATCGGTAACAAGGTTAAAAATGGTCTAAATGGAGCCACATCCAAACCTATACTTAAGTAATGAGTCTGACTGGGAACACCCGCTGCAGCCTGCAGGGTCAAGGTCTTTGTGCTGGGAACAGAGCGGATTTTCCTCTGCTGCTCCTGCAGCTACATTAAAGGACTCTGTAATTGAACTTGTGGCAAAGAATCACAAGCTGCCATTCATGTCTCCAGTTAACTTACAGAGAGGACTATAAATATCCTTTACAAGGTGGAGCCGCTTAAGACATCCAGACATTCAACACTTTAGGATAATAGTTAACCTTCGGTTTTCACAAAAACGGACAGTGAACCCTGAGTGAACTGGACATTTGCTGCTTCTGCTGGCCTGCGGAGCTCCTGGGGATTTTGACAGACAGATGTGCTTCGAGAGCGCTCGGCGAGATTCGAGACACGGCGACGATGTCAGCAGAAATGCATGGCTGAAGGAGCTTCTGCTGGTCCAGCAGGAGATCTGAGAAGCACCCGTCTATAGCAACACTTAAAGTTGACCTGCAGTTCACCCTGATTGTAGAGATTCAAGAAGAAAAAAAAATTATTTCTTCTGTACACCAATTGCTCAAATAAAGAACCTGCTGAATGTGATAGACTTTTTAAAAACCAACATGATGCCAGTTCAACTCATGAACCCAAGCTATTTTTAGCCTAGCGTGCACACTATTAATCCATTTTTATACAAGGCACATTTTCATTCGCATAACAGTCACTCCCTTGCTTCCTCCCCAGTTGCAGACAGAAGCCATGGCAGCTCCTCTCTGCAGCTGCTAACTTCAAAAGGCTTCAGGGCTGCAGCTTTGGCTGGTCACCGGGAGCGGTTTGTTTGGGTGACAGAGATTAGAAATAAACCAGAGAGAGAGAACAGGCGACGGATCACTGAAGCAAGAAAGGTGTGGACACATAAGCTGGTCAGCATCTTTCAAAATCATTAACATACAGAGCTGAGAAAAAAATAAGAGGAAAAAGGGGAGGAAACCCAAAGTCAGGTTTATTAGAGACTCAAACGTCGTATTACTCTCACCATCTACTGATTTCGGATTAAAACTCTGTTAAAATTCTCACCAACATGATATCTAACAAGATTAGTGTTGGGCAACTAAACAACGCTAGAGAAAAGATACGAAATGCAAGAGAGGAAGTGTTGGTGGATTTTCATGAAAAAACCGAAAATCCAGCCAGATCAGGGTCAGTATTTCTTTATATCACCAAAATAATTTGGAGTGGCCAAGCCAGAGTCCATTTGAGAACTGAGGGAGCTAAAGAGTGGAGTAATGGAAAGAAGGAATTTACAATTATAAAGACTAATTTAAAGTAATCATCAAAGATAAATAATCCTGCCACAAGCAAAGACACGTAAAAGACATCAGCATTTATTATTGTAATTATTACATGAACTGTTTTCACACACCCAGCTGCAGGACTTATAGGCCATTAATGCAAGGCTTTTGCAATCAGTTTTCATGTCTGTGTTTTGATGAAATTGCTAAACAGCATTAATGAACATGTTACATTTGATACTACTCTGGAAAACAGAAGATCCAAATACTGATAACAGGGCTTCTACAGCTTTCACCAACTTTATTTACCACATTTTAATACCATTATGAATGTGATGTAAGATTTGTACATTCACAGATATGTGCTAACTTTGGCCAGAAAACTGGCGGTGAAGTTTTTGTGAATGACAGACACAAAAAAAGCTAGCTAGCTTTTAATATTACCAATATTTCCAAGACATAGTAGCTAGTCAGCGGCAGCCTTAATCTTTGAGTGAAAAATGTAATGCAGATGTTTGATAATGCAGATGTTTGAGAATAACTCAAACTTTTCCCTGACAGAAAAGTCCCACGAGGAAAAGAAAATACATAGACTCTACAAGATTAAGTAGAACGTTTTAAGACCTGTGATGAACGTATTAAAAAGCCAAATTACTTTTTAAATTGATTTATGACATTTTATGGTCTTAGTTTTC